GTGTGTGTGTGTGTGTGTGTGTGTGGGTGGGGGTTTGCAAAAAATTTTGGAATCTCTTCTGTAGGTGTGGCCTGCTTTCTGGTGGGACCTCTTCTAACCGGTTCGGTAGATTTGACAAACTGGTTCTACCGAACTGGTGCTAACTGGTAGGAACCCACCTCTGATTATATGTACTATAATATCACCAGGAGTTGAACTCTACTTAATAGGATCTTTACCTTTAAAGTTTTTTAAACGAGGAAAAAGATAAAAGCATCTATGAAATCACCAGCTCTACATTCCTGTTTAAAACCACTTTTGTCAGCCAAAACATGAAATCTCCACCTTTATTTTAAGAACTCTGACCCACACTCACTCCTCTAATTGGAGTCCTGTTATCAATAGATAAAAGTGATCCAACATGATTCTTATCTCGTCACAGTAATGGGGGGAAGAATGGAAAGAGGATGAAGACGTGAAGAGCTAAACTTGGCAAAGGGAAGATCTGGCAGACGTAAAGGTGACTCAAGATCACTATCTTTTGGTTTGGACGGCTAGCAATTTCTCTTTCTCAGTTAGCTGGAGCAGATCCTGTTACATTTTCTCTGTAATCATGGCAAGAAATGGAAGAGAGCAGCTTAAAAATGCTTCAAAGTTTTGGAACTCTTTCCGGCCTCTCTCTGCAGCTTGGATCATTCTTCTACTCAAAACAGAAAATGACAGGCAGGTTTCCTAACAGAGCCCTGCAAGCTATTTGCCATCATGCTTAATCCACTTTATGTTTCCTTTCATGTACAGCTTCATGCCAAGGACTCACAGTTACGAGAAGGTTTTGTCTTCGAGAACAGAGAGGGTTTTGTCTCTGCACTCAAGCACAAGCTGACTTCAGTTTTTTTCTCTCTCTCAGAGGTTTTCCTTTTGTGATGGATGTAGTGATTCTGAAAGGTGCACACTTGGAAAACAATACAGACTGTTTTAGGCAGCTCAACTTCCCATGCCAGGAGCCAGATTGACCAAAATACAATGATCTCTTCCCACAGTAATTTCTTAAGCAGACCTTGCCTCACTCTTTCCTTCGATGTGACACAGATGTATGCAGTGGCCCAGGAGGGAGGGAGGGGAGGCTGGGTAAAGAATATAGTCTTGTATTTATTGCTAAAAAGGAAAAAAAAAGGGTTCTGTTTCCCATCAAGTCACAAATTTGAGGCACTAAGATCAATAAAAAATCAGAAATGGGCCCTCTGCCATGCCCATGGTGGCCAAATACAAAGAAAAGTATACCTCTTGCCATTATTTAAAAAGACAACTATCGGATTGAGCTTCTCAGAGCTGGTTAATTCTGTAAGGTTGGTTATTGCAGTATCCAGCAAGCAGCAGGTTGCTGATTAAGTCAAGGAATTACCCTCAATCCTAGAAGCTTGGGCTCCATTCACACCTTACATCTGCTAGTGGTGACCCTTTCTGTTTCTTCCCAGGCCAGATGAGGCATCATCAAGAGCCGAGGTGGCGCAGTGGGTAGAGTGCAGTACTGCAGGCCACTTCAACTGACTGCTAGTTCAGCAGCGGTTCAAATCTCACCGGCTCAATGTTGACTCAGCCTTCCATCCTTCCGAGGTGGGTAAAATGAGGACCCGGATTGTTGGGGGCA